CCCTCTCCCATGTCCCCCCGGAACTGTCAGTCCCGTTGTTTTCTCCTCCAGATTGTTCATCCAGCCTGTCCTATCCAGACAGGCCTGCCGTCCTCTTCTTACCACCTGCTGCCTACTCACTTTGATGTTCACAAACATAAAACCTAACAGCAGATTAAATGCATTTATTCTGCCCTTCTTTGTTCTTTCTTATTTAACATTGGGTCACATTTTCCTGTATCATTACATGTTCTAAAATTTCAGATTACTTGCAACATTCTGTGAGAGTGATATGTTTTGGTATGTCATCATTGGGAAGGCCAGTGTGTTTCTGAAGTCCTTTGAATTTAAGGAGACCCACCACTGGACTGGGTCTTTCTTGTGGATCTGGTAAACAATCTCATAAGGTTTCTGGTCAACTTAAAGGGTTTTCCGTTGGGGATAGGAAATTGCTCTTTGTGAAAACATGCCATTCTCCTCTGAGTAGCACTCAATCTCCTTCCCCCTCTAGTGTTCCTGCAAGAGGCTCTGCAAAGACCAGCTTCTCCCAGAGTGCCCGGCCGCCCCGCAAGCACTTCGCCTGAAGCCAAAGAACTTGCCAAGCCAGATGATGCCAGTTGACCTGGGGCAGGTCCTGGTCCCGCTGCCTCCACTGGCCAAGGCAGAGGACCCCAGCTTCCTCAGACAGGATGCTGGCCCTCCAGGGGAACTGTGCGGCCCTGAGGCTGCGCGCCAGCTCTTCAGGCAGTTTCGCTACCAGGCGGTGTCTGGGCCCCAGGAGACCCTGAGGCAGCTTCGTGAGCTGTGCTTGCGGTGGCTGCAGCCGGAGGTCCACACCAAAGAGCAGATCCTGGAGACTCTGATGCTGGAGCAGTTCCTGACCATCCTGCCCGGGGAGATCCAGATGTGGGTGCGGCGGCAGTGTCCAGGCAGCGGCGAGGAGGCCGTGACCCTCGTGGAGAGCTTGAAGGGAGACCCCCGGAGACTTTGGCAGTGGGTAAGTGAGGCCCAGCCCTCCCCTAAGCCTAATCCTCTGAACTAAAAGTTGGTTGTTCAAACCCACCCAGTGGCACCCAAAAAGAAAGAAAGGCCTGGCGATCCATTTCTATAAAGATGACCCCTAAGAAAATGGCAGGGGACATTACAGTTCTTGGGGCAGCCATGCGCTGAATTGTACTTGTTTGCATGGGTTTTATTTTGTTGTTGATTTTTATGCATATGTGTGTGACTCTCAACATTTTTTAGCTATTAGGGACTGATTATAAAATCTTTCTTCCAAGCCTGTCTTTTCACTGGAATCTGAGCTTTTCCAGGATAGTTTTTATAGGTAGATGCTGTCCAGTAAAAGCACTGTTAGTGACCTGTCTTGAAGGTCTTCCAGGCCTGGTTTAAAACTGGCCCTTTGGGTTTCGAAGGTTAAAGGTTTCTTTGTGGGTACAGAAAGCCAAGTGTCTGGTGGATCCGTAGTGTGGACCTTGTGGTGAGCAGCCAATGGGTAACCCGCTATGTCACCAAGGTTGCTTATCCTCGTGTTAGGCTGCTAACTGCAGGGTCAGCAGTTTGAAATACCAGCTGCTCTGCTGGGGAAAGATGAGGCTTTCAGTGCCCATAAACAGTACAGTCTTGGAAACCCACAGGGACAGTTCTCCTGTGTGTGACCCATAGAGTCACTATGAGTCATAATGGATCAAGAGCAGTGAGTTGAGGGATATTTCCATCACTAGTTCCTGCTGGATGAGGATTAAAAGCTGTCTTTCTTCTCCCCTAATCCATGTTTGCAAGAACTGTCTTGTAATCTGTTGTAAGGTTGGCTTCACATCTTTCAGGAACCCTGACTCCGAATCCTTCAGTAACTAGTAATTCCTGGTCCCTAGATCAGCATGCAAGTTCTGGGACAGGAGAGCGTATCAGAGAAGATGGCATCTCTGAGCTGCCAGGTGGGGGAGGCAGAGACGCCTCCCGAAAGGATGCCTCAGGAGCTGGACCTTCAGCAGTCAGCCTCAGGTCCCGGAGAGCAGCTGAGCCACGTGGTGAAAGAGGAATCTGACAGCGAGCCAGCATTAGGTGAGTCTCAGTTGTGATTTGGGGTGGTTTGGGTGCTCTTGGAAAAAATGAGGGTTTGTGTGAGTTGAAAATGTTGTGCTGGGATTGAGGTGTCCCTGGGAAGTGTGTAAACAGGATGTGTGGATCGATCTCTCTGAGTCACCCTGATTTGGAGATTCACAGCCTGCCTTTTGTGCCCCTTTCTGACCCTGCACGGCCACCTGGATTTTGGTTCTGAGGAAGCAGGTGGGAGTTCATTTACGGGAGGCCGCTTGGAAGGTCGGAGAGATGAGACTTGTTAGGGATGCCTAGCCTGTCCTGAAATCGTGGCTGGAGGAACTGAGATCGGTTCAAATGTATCAAGAGTTCTTTGATCAGGACCCTGTGGGCAGTGACTGAGGCGGACATGTAGACTCTTAAAACTTGCTGTTTCTCACTTCAGTGATGGCTGCTTCCCAGCTTCTTGCCCGGCCTGAGGAAAGGCCCGTGAGAGATGAGGACGTTGGCGCCTCCTTCCTCCACGCATCGTCTCAGGTGAGCTGTGTTCCCCCATGTTTCTCACCCTCAGCCAGGTTGGAGCGTGATTCAGTGCTCGGGAGTGAAAGGGGAGCAGTCTGAGAAATGGAGTGTAAGATGGCCTTGCTAGGATTAGAAGGAAAATACACAGGGGAAAAAAACCAAACTGAACCGTTACGTTTAGCATTTCTCTTCTGACCTCTCAAGGCAGAGTATTCTTCCAATTCCCATTTTGAATAGAGGAAGATGGAATCTAGACAGGTGTAAAGTGCTATGAAGAGATGAACCTTAAAAAAAAAAGTAAGTAAAAAAAGAGATGAACCTTCTCTTTACCCCACCAGTGGTCATCCTTCCTCCTTCATTGTCTGCATTGTACTACATTGTCTGCATTGTTTCATTATCTAGTTCCTTAACATAGGAACAGTTTGTAACTTTTAATAATTGTAGCTACTATGGGGCAAGTGATTTTTTCATGTATCTTTAAGAATACGTAGTTGGCATACAATACATATGTGGATGTTTTACATGAACAGTTTGGTTAGTTTGGGTCTGAGTACGTGCTCATAAAACCTCGGGCACATCAAGATGATAACTGTCATTTATTCAATGTGTCCCCTCATGTAAAAGGTGAGTTTGGGTGCCCCATGATTCCCAATATTGAGTAGGTGCCCTGTGTTTTGTGATCTGTAAGAAATGAGAAAATTTTTTGAAACGAGAAAACCACTTCTGCACTTTAGTTTTTCCCATAGCGCTGACCCTGTAAGCTGTGTGCAGCATCACAACAATGTCTCTGGCATTTCCCCGAGCAGGACACAACATGTCACAGCTGTGTGCCATTCTCTTAAATCCGTCATCACAACACATGACGGCGCGAAGCTGCTTTCAATGGAAATTCACTGACCAGAGAGAACAGGCCCAGGAGGTTCACTGCGTCCACTGACTGCGAGCGAGTTGCTTGATGCTTGCTTAGTGGGAAAAATGCGTACTACAAAAACTCTGCTCCGCTCTTATTTTGGTATCCTGAGTTTTCATGTATATGTTAATGAGGAAGAATCATTGCGAGGTGTATCTCATAAGAGGGTGTGAATACATTTCCTCTCCCTTACTTAACTCCATACCCTTAAGTCTCAATCTTAGTTGAATCACACCTTTCAGAAGAGATCAAAGAAGAACAGTGAACAGAAAGCGTAGGGACCTTGCTACCCCAGAGTAAGAAGAGCCTGGAGTGGGGATCCCTGCACCAAGAGCCTCCTCGTTCCTGGGAATGACCAGTACCAAGACTCATTAAGATCTCTGGCCCTGTGTTAATCTGGGTTGACTAGAGAAACATTTATAGACACGCATGTGCATAAGAAAGAGTTTTATATACAAGAACAATTGAACATTGAGAAAACATCCCAGCCCAGTCCTTCTCAATTCCGTAAGTCTGATATCAGTCCAGATGTTCGATAAGAATCTATAAAATCCTCTTCAGACTCACAAACACATGCAATCACGCCAAATGCAGGAAGATCACAGGCCATTGCGTGGGAAGTCTTGTGGATCCAGTGGCATTGTAAGCATCTCAGCACTGGCAGGGGTCTCCGTGTGGCTCCTCCAGTTCCCAGGACATGGAATCTATCAGCGTAGTGCCATGTGTTTTGTCAATAGAGCATCTCTCAGGGAGTGAGCAGAGAGAGTGTCTCCTGCCTCCAAGAAGGAAACAGCATTTCCCAGAATCCTCGGGTGGGGGGTGGGGGGAAGGCCATGCCTACAGGCCTCATTGGCAATACAGTGATTGACAGGCTAGACACCACCCCTTTTGTCGAAATCCTCTCAAGTTGACAACAGATTATATAACTAGTGCAGGCTCCAAAGTGTTTCTAGTGTTAATGCCCTGAGTTTTGACTTTCAGCATCCTAATCTGTGAGGGGTTAATTTTGTTTAAGCTATTCACAGGTAGTCTTGTGTTAATAATTAAAAAAATAAATTAATGGCATATACTTCACATATCATGCAGCTTAATCATTCAGTCTTATTAAGAAGAGTTGTACAATTGTTACTACAATCAATTTCAGCACATTTTCTTCTCATATTCATTGTTACTTCATTTCCCCCCTTACTCCCTTGCCAGGCCCCTATCTAGTTACTGTCTTGTTAGTTCTACCTGTCCTGGGTTTCAAACAAACATAACACAATCATACAAAGCAAGCAAACAGAAAATACCCGATAATAATAATTAGACAAAATATAGAAAAACATCAGTCAAAGAGAAAGCAGAAAATATAAAAAACAAATAACTTTAAAATGGGTACAAAGGGTGATCAAGTGCTAGGGCATTACAGTGTACCCTCACTGCGTCTGCCATGATCGACTGTGCACTGCCTGCTGTGTGGTAGCAAGGCTGCTCACATTCCCTGCTGGGATCAGAAGGGGTTCACGAGGACCTTAACCCACGTGTCCACTCTGCAAATGGATTTTGGGCGCCCACTATCCAGACCCTTCTGTAAGCTGGGTGTGCACAATTTAGGCTCTGGTAATAGTCCTTCCTGTGGATTTGGGTTTTATTTACAATCCTTGGATTACACATGCTGATGTGGTTCTTCCATTGGCCGCAGTTGGTGCTTCACTTAGATGGCTCTTGGTTGAAGACATGCCGTAAACTCCAGAGGCTTTTCTTTCTGAGAGCTGGCACTTTCTGGTTTCTTCACCACACTTTGATACAGCACCCATATCTTCTGCGATCTCTTCATTAGGGTGAGCATCAAGCAGGGCCCTGTCATAAGAATGAATTGTTCTTGGGGCTAGAATTAAGGGTAAGCCCCAAATCCATTTATATACCTTTGGTTTAGATATATTTCTGTTTCATTTTAGAGACATCATGGTCTTTTTATGATAGAGAACATTATAAATCATTCCCCTATGCCACAAAGTAATTCAATTGATAGTGTCATTAATTTAGCCAATGGTATAGAATTTAAAATACTGTTGAGAAAAGGAAATTACACAAGTATAGGCCAGTTTCATGTGGTTATATATGAATTGTTGCGTTATACAGGTAAATTTTAAGTGACTAGACATTACTTATGCAAACAATGGCTGTTGGTGATAGAGCAACACTTTCAATGATACTCATTAAGAGAGGCAGAACCATGGCTAGAAGATGACTGCATGTCATCAGAAAGCAAGCAGAGCATTAAGATAGTAAGTATAGTAGTCCTGGCCACCGTTCATCGACGACTGCTAATTCCATAGCAGTCTGCTGCTTCTCACTGCGGTGCTTCACCCTATAAGTGGAAGGGCTCGTCAGTGCCTTAAATCTGCTACAGGTGAGGTTGAGGTAAGGCCCAGCTTACTTAGTGGCCTATGAAAAATGCTGAGTGCTTTGAAAGGACAGAGCCAGATCCCAGCAGTCGACAGCACATGGCTTGGATATCCAGCACCAGGACTGGATAGAAACTTCAGTCAAGCGTCCAGTTAGTCACATTCTCCCCTGGGGTTTCCTGTAAGTATGGTTAGGGTTTTCATTCTTTTTCCCACTGGGAGGTTGCTCCACTTTCCGACCAACAGAAATGTAATTGCCTGCTATAAGACATGCATGCTTCCCTCTCCATATCTTCCTTTGAATCTCCAGTAAGATTGGATTTTCACTCTTCTAAGGGTTTTTTTGTTCATTTGGGTGACCCTAGCACAATGTTGTGTTGTTGCAACTGAATAGTCCTCTCACTTTCTCTCCATCTTGAAAAACTGTCGCCAGCTGAAGTTAGGTATCCTCTTTTGAAATGGTTCGTAAGCTGCACTAATAAAGTGAGTGGTATATGGTTCGTGGGCACTAGTCAGGCTCACTACCTTGTTTCTTTTAGAAGAATTAATACCAGACTACGTGCAAGGACTTGGAGGTTAATGATGCCCCCAAAGTCCAGCTCTTCTAAAGTATTCTCTGCTCCACCCCCTACCCCTCCGCCCTGACTCCTCCCCTTGATTATATTCCCTCATATGATTGGTTGCAGTGCCCCACAGAATTTCACAGAACTAAAGAAGTGCCTCACGTGATGGGTGCTGTTCAGTCCAAAACCTTCAAGCCAAATGTAGGATCCAGAGCCAGCAGTCAACTATGCTAAAAGTCAAGGCAGGTCTTGCTTCTACCAAAGTTCAATCAGTAGTAGACATCTGGCTCTGCAGGTATGTTAGCACTATATGGTGAGTACCAAAATATACCAGACTTGCACTGGGCAGAGTGAGTTGTCATAGTATGCATTTTTCCACACGGGGCGTGCATCAAGCAATTCACTCGAAGTTAGTGCACCCAGTGATATCTGGGAAGGTTCTCTCTGGTAACGGATTTTTTTTTTTCTTGAAAGCACTTTTGTGCCAACGTCATTTTTTGTGATGGCCAATTTAAGAGAATAGCGTGTGGCTGTGAAATTCAGTTTCCTGCTCTGGAAAATTGCCGCAGAAACTGCGTGATGTTGAACACAGCTTAAAAGGACAGCGGTATGGGAAAAACTCAAGTGTATGAGTGGATTTCTCGTTTCAAAAAAGGTGAAATATCGATTGATGATAAACCTGGTTCTGGATTTCTGGCAAGTTCCCGAACAGATGAAAATGTCGACTCGTATGCATTTGGTGTTCATTCCACCAGGCCAGACTGTTATTCAAGCTTTCTATTTAGAGGTTCTGAAAAGACTGTGTAACAGTGTGGGGGGAAAAAAGACCTGCTTTTGCTACCACGACAATGCACCTGCTCACACATCCATCTCAGTGTGCCAGTTTTTGGCAAAAAACAGCATGCCTCTCTTTCCCTGTGCATCTTACTCACCTGAACTCACTCCTTTCGACTTCTTTTTTTGTTTCTGCAAAAGGGTTGTGTTAGTCTGGGTAGACTAGGGAAACAAATCCATAGAAACTCATATGTATGGGAGAGAGTTTTATATATAGGTTAAGTGTACATTCAGGAAGCTTCCCAACCCCGTCCAGTCCAAGCCCATAAGTCCGACTTAGCCCATATGTCCGACACTGATCTGCAAAGTCCTCCTCAA